TAAATATGGAGACATAACTTCACTGCTCTAAGTGGATGTGGATAATAATTTGATTAGAGCCATTGTTTAGTTTTAGGATCCTTCTTATAGGTGTTTCATCTTCAATGAAGTAGACATGGTACCCACAATTGAAGAGTATATGGTCCTACTTCGCTTTGATTTGCCAAATCCGAATAAGATTTATTGGTTAAATAAGGTGGGTTATCGTAAAAAGTCGGTGCAAATGCTTGGACTTAGCTTGCTTCAAGTTGATGCGTGTGTTAAAACGAAAAGTGAAAGTAAGATTATCCCATAGAGTTTCCTGCGAGACTTCATCCAAGGATATTTGGATGATGATTAGGGGCTGGTGGTAGTAGCTATAACTCTATATGGATTAGTGATCTTCCCAAAAGTCATTGGACATGTTGATGTCACAGTGATAGACTTTGTCGATCAGTTAGAATACAAAGTTAACACAACTCTAACCATTTTAGCAGAAACCATTCATTCTCTAAATTTTTGTCATAGAAATGGTAAAGGTCGATTTAATGGGTGCTTATAATTACTTTATGTATCGATGAAGAGTCACATTGAGTGTGAAGAAAGCCAATTTCGCAAACCATAGTTGCATTTCAGTATTCCAATCAAGGAGTTTTGTTGCAGCACATGGCTTAAAGCAAGGTCAAAAGAAGAATGGGTTTTATACTTTTGGGCCCTTGATAGCCAAGGGATAATTTGGAAAGCACATTGGCTTTCATAGAAGTGAAGAGGAAACCTTAGCCTAATTAATTAAACAACCTTAGAGGTCTCCCCATCAAAGGCTAATTGAGCTAAAGGCCTACACAACCACCAAACCACATTGACCTAATAAAATGTGTAAAACCCACACTTAGGCAATCACATCAATGTTGTTAATATCTTTTTATTATAGATTGTACCAATCGAAATGCTCCAATTATACCAAAACATGATACATCTAAAGGTATTTTTTATACTGAATCAGGTATCGAGTAATATCGGTCGTTTTCATTAGTTTCAACTAATTTAGGTGGATTAGCTTGTTTCAACCGGTACGTGAATGTGACACATGTTTTACTATTTTTAAGTTGTCTTTTGTTGTTTAACTATTTTTAACCTAATAAAAATAAAACTAATTAACAAAATAATTCTTGAAAGTAGAGTTTCTCTATTTTTTTATTATAACTTGTTTTCTTTTATACTTTATTTTTTCAAACCAAACTTTATAAGTATTTCAATTTCTTTTAAGAAGGTAATCGTGCTCCCTCTCTAAAGTTCAATAATCATAAAATCAAAGTTATTTTTTATTTCTTTGTTTTTATTTTAATATTTATATGAAAAAAAGAAAAATACCCATTTAAATAATATATGGTTAGATTAAGTGTTTAAAAATTTTATGAAAATTTGATGATATTATTTTTTATGCTTTTAAACTTATTTATTTGGTTTTTGAAAATATTGCATATTTATTTTAAGATTATTAGTAGTATTATTATGTACAAGTTCATATATATTTATAAATATATTTATACTAAATCAAATAATTCAAAATAATAGACTGAAACAATTAATATCGACATATATCATTTTTTTTTAAAGAAAACTAAAATGTTGTCCGGTATAGTATTGAAAGCCTTGGTTCACATTAAATTATTTGGGCTCTAATACTTATCTTATATTAGGATTAAATTTATCAGTAGATTTTATTAGATTATTAAAATCACCAATTAATAGTAACTTACTTACAAAAAATTCTAATAATAAAGCAAAAAAATATGTATAAACTTTTGATAGACAAAATGATATTTTTGTTCATTATATTTTTAAATTGTTTTTTATTGATTATAATTTTTAAGTATAATTATAATTAATTGTAAAAAAAATTTATCTCATCTATAGATAACAATTCCAATTCCCTTTGATCACTTTTATTAATTAGAAAAACTTAGCTTAGAATTTTTTTTTATTCATTATATTTCCAAAATTGTAACCATATTATGTTAAAAAAATAAAAAAATTATAATGAAAATGAAATTAATTGCAATCATAAAAATCATTTGTTTATAGTTATTATTAACTTATTATCAAATGATATATATATATATATATATATATTATATCCACCATCCAATAAAATTTATCAATCTAATAATCAAATAAAAGAAAATTAAAAATAACAAAAATGTTAAAAAAACAATTTATGTGTTTTCGTTAAAAAAAAATAAAGGGAAAACTAGGGGGTTGATTGCACAAAACTATAGTATAATGACTTAAATTTGCATCTTAAAATAATTCAAAGGTTAATTTGTTTGTTATCGCACTTAAATTTGTGGGGGTCGTATCATAATTAATATATTGAATTTATAATTAATGTCAGAAGAGTAACTTACCTAGTTAATTTATCTTGGATGGATAATTTACCAACTTGATTTGAGACTAGAAATTTTAAAGAAAATAACTATATATAACAGATATATTGTACAATATATTTATGCAGTGACTTACAGCGTTTGCACGTAATCGATGATGTTTTCCAGGTCCAACAGGAGATTTTTTGTGAACAATTTTTCTTCCAATCTCTTTTAGCAACTCATGTATCGACAATTGTCTCCAATATTCTGAAAATAGTCACAACCGACCAGAATTTTTGTTACCAAATCTTTGTCCTCCCCTTTGAAGGGGCAAGCAGTATTTAAAAATATGTTCATCTCCATTTCTTCTAATCCATCAAAGCTTATTTGTAGTCTGTCCCGCCACTTCCCGAAGATCTGCAAAAAAGCTTTTGCCTTCAAAATGACTTGAAATTTGGGTATAAACAAATCTTGCAAGAGGCATTTTACTAATTCCGCCCAAACCACAAATCCCTGTAATGCGAACACAATCATCTTCATCATCCTTTATGTCTATTTTGCAATGCAGTTTTCCCTAAAGTGATTCAATTCCAATCATGTCAGAATTAAGAGCACTTTAATATGTTTGACATAATTTTGTTGATACCTTTTTAACGATATCTCCAATAAATTCTGATTTATGCCTACAATACAAAAAGGGAAGAATTTTAGTTACTAAGAGATAGCTTAATGAAAATGACTGCAGCATCACGTGAGAGAAGAAAGGAGTCTAATGCTGAAAGCTGATCATTCTTTAAGTGAAAGGATAAGATGGTTACCTGCTATTTAAGTCCCATCCCTTTATGTTAGCCGCTCTAGTTAAAACAGTTCGCCACCTTACTATCTGCTCTTTAAAATTTTTTTCATGCTTAGTAAAAGCTTCTTCAACTTTCCCTGTCTGTTCTCCTAGCTCAGATGGATCCACGTCATAGAAAATTACCCTCTCGTTTTTTTGTTTAATAATTTTAGAAAGTTCCTCCAGACATCATCTGGAAGAAGCATATCTTTCTAAGAAAACGATTATTGGGCACCATGATTCTTGAATTGCTTAAAAGAGCTCTGGTGCGATGGCTTCACCTATCTCAAGCTTTTCATCATTCTGAAAATAACGATTCCTTGATTATAAAGCAGCATATAGGTGGTCTGTGACTTCTTGCATGTATAGATGGTCTTGCATATAGAGGGTTGTGTATTATGATTGTTGATGAAGTAAATAGTTTAGTAATTAAAAGCCTAAACATTGTAAAAAATTCAGTATTGAAACTAAATAGTATTTTATGCATATTGAGATGCAATACTTGTGTGAAAGGTGAAAACTAATTATTTATTTGCTTTGTTATTTTGATTATGCATTAATGATCGTTGATAAATAAATAGTATAGTGATGAAAAGCCTATATATTGTAAGAAATTTAGTATTGAACTACATAATGTTTTATATGTATTAAAAATACAATAACTTTATGAAAAGTGAAAACTTTTGCGTATTATAATCATATCTTAACATTTTGAATTGACATTTTGAACAGTTTGAAGTTGTCTCATTTTATTGGACTATACATGTTCAATGGAATAATAATTGTTTTAAACTTTTTGTAAAAAAGCTAAGTTACTGCATTATCTTAGAAATATGGTAAAGACTCTTTCAATCATTTAGATTTCGATCCACAGGCATTGACTAAAGCTATTGGATGGGTTGAAGCTATGTGCACTCATGTATATGGCTTTGAATCTCCTGATGGATCTAAGAACATACTTTACTCAAGTCAGTTTATAGCTGCAACAACAACCTCACTCAATTTGTGATCCATATTCTGTGCCTTCTCAATCTCCTTAGCCTTAGATACAAAAATAAATTGATGAGTTGAGAATTGAGTTGAGGGCTGAGCTTAAATTTTTTATGAATCAAATGATGCGGTTGATGAAGTCTACATAATTTTTGCTAACACAATTTTCTAGACCTGATGACAACAAGATAGATTTTGGGTCAGGAAATGCATCAATACAGTTACATGTTTTTGAGGACTTGTGTGATAGATTTTATGGATGTTATGTATGTTTTTTGATATTATATTTTATGGATGTTAGGGATGTTATAGATGTTTACTTTATAATTTGGATTGTGTTAGAATTTATGATGTGGATTTGATATTTTAATTAATAATAATAGACAAATAATAAACTTTTTAAATAATTACACATTTTAATTTTAATTTATAAGTTCCTTAAATAATTATGGATCGGATTAATCTAATTATCGAAAAAAATTATAATTTTATCAACGAATTTTACTAGCAAAATTTAAGCTATTACCGATAAATTATTAATGAATTTACTGATAGATTTATAGACAAAAAACACCATTTACTAATTGATTATCAATCAATTACCAACAAATTATTAATAAATTTTGCCGATAAAATATTGATACATTACCAACAAATTTTACCAACGAATTTTCAACAAAATTCACAAAAAATAATTACCGATAAAATTTTAAATTTATTGAAAAATTTGTATTATCAATTTGCTTACTACAAACAAAATTTTTCGTCGATAAATTTCATCGATAAAAATATTACCATTAGAATTGAGGCTATTAAAAACGTTTTTTTTTTTTTTTTTGGTAGTGTACACTGAAAACACTTACCAAATGCGGAGTAGTATTGAAGGAAAGTCTCGTAATGTTGATGAAAATACAAAACCAACGTGGAAGAGATTCTGGGGGATGAATGTTCCTAACAAAATCAAAGTTCTAATTTGGAGACTCTATCACAGTGCATAAAATTAGTTTCAGTTGCGAGGACAGGGAAGAAACGAAAGACCATTCAATCCGAAACTGTATTCATGTTAGGGGAATATGGCAACAAATCGGTTTTCAATGGAGCCATGTCAGTAACGAAATTATGAAGTCATACCAATGACATAAAGGCTGATGCTGAATAACAAGAATTTGGATAAACAGCATTTGCAAATATTAATGGTAGCTATATATTCTATGGAATGGAAGGAATGGTAAGCTTCATGGAGAGGATAGGAGAAAGGTTCAAAATGCTGCAAGTTTCATTAAGAAGTATCAGGCAGAATACATTCAAGCTCATATAAGGAAAGAACAAGCCACTCAAAACGCCCAAAAGTGGACACCTCCTACGAATGATGCCTACAAAATCAATTTTGATGGGGCTGTGGACCGCAATAATAGTGTAGAAGGTGGAGGCATAGTGATTAGGAACCATGAGAGAGCAATCATTGGAGCTGGAGCCTTCATGTTGACAATATGAATGTGATACATTTGAGATGGAAGCGAGAGCAGCTTGTAAAGCACTGGAGCTGAATCCAATTTCCTCTTGCCTAATATGAAGTAGCTGAATTTTTTTATCTCATTTATAGCCTACAAGGAGTCACTCTCTACTACTCGATCAGTCCTGGCTCCTTCGCGATTGGTGACAAAGGCATACTAAAATCTATGTATATAAAGACAAACAAAATCTGTAAAAGCGTCGTCCATAGGTTTAAACATAAGAAATTAGCTCAAATTAAACATATAAAATTAAAAATATTTCATACAAAAAATATAGAAAATTGAAAGATCTAATTCAAGTTAAATTAGAAAAATAACAACCCAATATAGCAAAACCATCCCAAAATAGTTAAGAATTTTTAAAAGTTAAAAAAAGAATTAATATCATGAATGATTTCAAAACTATAATAAAATGTTAAATGTAATACTTGAATTTTAAAAATTTTTCATATGGTACTTGAATTATAAATTTATTAATTAATATGATATTTCAAATATTATTTACTCATTACATGTCATTATTTTAAAGCTAATCATGTTAAAAATATTATATTAATTAAAAAATTCATAATTTATGTACTACATTATAAACTTTTAAAATCCAAGTATCACAGTAAATATTTTATTGTAATTTAAAAATAATTCATGACACTAACCCTTTAAAAAATAGCCAACAATTTATCCATAGTTAAATAAGCATCATTGGAAGCAAAAGAATCATCCAAAGTAACCAAATCAAACAATACCAAAATAGTATAGAATAGAACGCTATAACCTGTAAAGAAGTAATCAACAATTTATCTATCATTCATGTCAACACCGTTGGAAGTAAGAGAATCATCCGAAGTAGCCATATCAACAACCCCTTTTTTTCTGAAAAGCAAAAAGCGAGTAAGCAAACGCAAAAGATTAAAGAAAATAAATTATATGAACCAAAGAGAAGTACATTAACCTCTTCTTCGCGACCCTTTGCTCAACCACGTCTACATCAAGTAACTGAGGATCAGCCATTTCCTTAGAAGTATACTTTATCTCAAAACCTTCCCCTTTGCCAGCATGCTTAATAGTTGAACCATCAATCAATGAATTAGAAACACTTGCTTCCTATAAAGAAAATGTTTCCACGGTCAAACACCTACACAACTGTCATCTAAAAAGTTGTAAATAAATAAATAAATATATATATATATATATATATATACACACTTACAATCTTTTTCAAGTTAGTAGATGCAATTGTAATCCCACTCATTCCACTAACAACAAAATGCTTAAGATCACCATAATTTTTTTGACAACCAGCTCTTAATTCAAAATCAAAGCTTGATCCAATGAGGTTGCTTAACACAGGGGGTAAGACATAATCATCAGTGTTTTCCTTCAAAAAATGAACATCAACAATGATTGAGTAAATGAAGTAATAAAAAAGTACATGAAATTTAATAGACAAAAAAATGAAACATGTTTTACATTTGATTGAGAAGAAACCAATTCACCGGCGGTGACTTTCAAAAAGTTAGAAACAACATCATCAAACAAGAGAAAGGTTGCAGACCCATTCAAATCTTCCACATCAACGTAAACACGAAATCTAGAAATCATGTCAAGAACAATCAATAAAGACAATAGCAAAAATTATTTTTTTTTAATGTACTTACAAAGAGTACACATATAAATATATAAAATATTACCTTGGTTGAGGACATTGAACAAGTTTGTTGCAATTAGGACATAACATAGAGCTTTCCGTAGGAACAACCCTCTTCCTACATATACCACCACAAGATGCATACCACCATCCATAACCAGTTCGTATGTCAACAACAGTAGCTGTAACCAAATAGGACTCACCCTAAAAAGAAACATAAAACAATAACGATAATTGAAAATAAAAAGACCTATATTCACACCAGAAATTAAACTTTAATAATAAAAAATTACATATAGAACAAAAACAACCTTGTTGATAGCTGATTGATAAAGCTGTTTCATCTCCGCAATTGTTTTTTTAAACTTGGAAGAATTAGATCCACTCGACAACCGATGCCTGTTATAAAAATCCTTAATTATTGCAATCATGCTAAAAAATCATTTTAAAAAGTAAATGATTAAACACTACAACTACTTTGAGAAAACAAATAATAAATCAAAATCAAATAAAAAACTCACACTAAACTTGACTTGAATTGAATTATTTCTGAAATTGTCTCGTCTATGTAAATTTTAGTTGATTTTGAGGTAGAAAGTGAGATCTCACCTACAATAGAAAAAAAATAAACACACTACACAATAAGATGCAAATTGATTACACATTGATTAACCTCGAGAATGACTAATGATCAAAGAAATAATTATAACAACTTGAGATTAGTTTTCTAATGTTTTACACATTCACTAACCTTGAAAACTCTTCGCTTTTAAAGAAGTAAGTATAACAACTCGAGGTTCGTTTCTCAAAGTTAAGCACTTCTCTTCAAATTCAGAAACAAACTTGTCCCACAAACTAACAATTATAAACCTATCACTTAAGAGAAAAAGAAAAAAAAATGCTTGAATGATACTTAATTCCAATATTTATAAAAAGTTCATTTCTTTACCAAATCATCCTTTGTATAACAGTGTCAATCTAGAAAATAAAAAAATAATACCTTAAATCTTGAAGGTATAACTTCATACAATTTAAGGATTTGTCACCGACGACAACTGGACGTCGAGAGCCAACAACAACACCAATAATATCTAATTAAAAAAATATAGCATAAAAAATATTTTTAGTTTAAATAAAAGCACAAAAACACAAAATCCATACTAAATTATCAAAATGAAAAATCAACATAATAACCTGCTAAGCACTTTGTTGAACGTCCGTCAAATTGATCATAAGCCACAAACTCAAAAATATGTCGTGGGATATTTACTCTTTCATCAAATATCTCTTTGATGATGGTATTAGCTTGAAAATAAATCATATAATCATTCGTAGAAATTACTCGATAATTATTTTTACCTTTTACAATAGAAAAATTTTTAATATAATATAAACCTCCTTCATGAATCATATCCTTCAATTGATATGCATTACAACTCCCAAGAATGGCATGAATACAAAATTCCTATGAAAGTACAAAAAAAAATAAAATGAATAAAAAGCAAAATAACAACAAAAATTGAACAAAATAATTAAAAAATAAACATATTACGTACCTTTTCATCAACCAATATCATTTCTGTGCTTACAAGTTGTTTAGTTTCAGAAAAAATATCCCACAATCGACAAACGCGAACCTTGATTCTCCAATTATCTCTTTCAATAGACAATTTATCAATCGTAACATACTCCAATTGACTAATAGACAAATTTAAAATAAAAAAATCATAAACAATGGTAAAAGTAAGAAAAATATAAAAATAAAAATACTAAAAAAACATATCTCATGATTAGTAATATGGCAAACAAAAAATAAGAAAAAAAATAAAAACATTAAATGCACTTATATAACCTTTCCACCACCCAAAAAAGATAAATAATCATAAAGCATAAGAAAATCAAAAGTTAATAATATAAATGTTAAACAATGAAGGGTTTATAAAAATTTTTACAAATAACAATTTAAATGATTATAAATACAAAAAAAAAATTAAAAGTAAAAAATCTATATAAATGTTAGTCAACCAAAAGTATATTGTATTTTGTGTAATAAAACTAAATGCCGTAGGTTTAGAATTTATGTAAAACAAACTTGATATTTATTACAAAATATTTAAGTTATATATATAATATATATATATATGCTTTTCCTACCACAAGTGACCTTATTTTCTTATTAATTAAACTTTAACTTCGATTAATCATTATTAAGTGATTATATACAACTCTTATCACTTTAATTTTGATTATAGCCTCATTCAAATCATAGAAATGGGAGGATAAAGGATATATGGGAAGGAGAGAGTTACCCTTTTTTTTTCTTTTGACTTTGTAAGGATAAAAGCTAAAAAAAAATGAAAGGAGCAAAAGGGTGTAACCTAGGGCAAAATAACCAAAAGATCCATCGAATAATTAACCACAATTCAATAATAATAATAATACAACAACAACCAAGCTTTATATCCTATACTCAAGTCAGCTATATGAAAATAAAAAAAGAAATCATGTTAAGTTGTAATTGTTAAGCTTCTTACACCATTCATTTCTATCAACAATAACTTTTTCATTTACTTCCTTGATCATTGTATTATTTTTTGTTACTTGCATCTATGCATTTCATAGTCTACTTTAAAATTCAATAATAATAATAATAATAACAATAACAACAACAACAATAATATATACACACATACATGCATAAATGAATATATATGTGTTTATACATATGTTTTTTTACCTTTTATTATCGATAATCATGCCTTCAATCACTTGTATAGCCTTAAAATCAAACGCAAAATGTAAGAAAACATAAGTGGATCATGTAAATTGTAATTAGATGAATGAAAATGTAATACTAAAGACTTTCTTGTGTTAGAATTAAGTGGTCACACTAATTCTAAATAAAGCATAAAGCTTAATTTACACTAAACGTGAACTTAAGTTCTCTTACTTTTATTCAGCGCAATCATCCCACCAACAATTATTTGCTTTGTTTAAGGAAAAACCATTGCATAATATTCCATATTTTAGAAAATTTTGTAATTGTTCTATCTAATCCACTTATATTTATAATCTATACCTATTATATATATCTATATAAAAAGCCATGGATGTTGATAAATTTTTATTGACGAAAATGAACAGATTTGTTCATTATATTTTTAAATTATCATTTTAAAATTTTATTATAAATATTTATAAAATTTATTCAAATGGTAAATAAGAATTCTAACGCATCAAAATGCCATTTTATTAAAAATATTGGTTATATAAATTATAATAATCATCAAAAGAACTTTTAATGAGAAAAACATTTTTCTGAATTCAAATAGTATTAAATCAATTTAAAATCAATACTACAAAATTTAGTTATTTATACTTCAAAATTTGTACTCTAAACATTTTATTTGCAATATAATTGGTTATTACTTAAAATAAAATAAAATAAATATCATATGTATAGCCATGAATGAGAAATACTATAGTATCTATAAAGTCATTTATGTGAAATAAATGTTTTATTGCGCAAATGAATATTTTTAAATTCATTATATTTTTAAAATTGTTTTTTATTATAATTTTAAGTATAATTATCCATTAAAATTGTAAAAGATTTACCTCATCTATAGATAACAAGTCCAATTCCCTTTGAATCACTTTTATTGATTAGAAAATTATTTACTTGGCTTAGAATTTTTTGTTCATTATATTTCCAAAATTGTAACCATATTAAGTTAAAAATAAAAATAATTTTATAATGAAAATAAAATTTAATTACAATCATAAAAATCATTTGTTTATAGTTATTATTAACTTATTATCAAATGCAAATATATATAATATCCACCATCCAATAAAATTTATCAATCTAATAATAAAAAATAAAAGAAAATTAAAAAGTAATGAACATGTAAAAAAATAACAAATAATAATATATGGGTTTTCAGAAAAATTAAAAAAAAAAAGAGAAAAATAAGTGGTTGATTGCACAAAACAATAGTATAATGACTTAAATGTGCATCTTAAAATAATTCAATGGTTAATTTGTGTGTTATCCCACTTAAATTTATTTGGCTCGTATCCTAATTAATTCATTGAATTTACAATTAATGTCATAAGAGTAACTTACCTAGTTAATTTATCTCAGTGGAGAGTTTACCAACTTGAAAAGAGACTAGAAATTATAAAGAAAATAACTGTATATAACAGATATATTGTACATATATTTATGCAGTGACTTACAGCGTTTAATCGATGATGTTTTGCAGATCCAACGGGAGATTTTTGGTGAACAATTTTTCTTCCCATCTCTTGTAGCAATTGATGCATCGACAATTTGTCTCCAATATTCTGGAAAAAGTTACAACCGACCAGAATTTTTGTTACCAAATCTTTGTCCTCCCCTTTGAAGAAGCAAGCAATATTTAAAAATATGTTCATCTCCGTTTCTTCTATTCCATCAAAGCTTATTTGAAGTCTGTCAAGAATTTCTTTCTTATAATCATTTTCAAGTCTTTCTATTACACCTGTCCATTGAGAAGCATCTCTCCCAGCAAGAAAAGAACCAAAGACTTCAAGAGCTAATGGAAGGCCATCTGCATATTCTATAACACGTTTTGAAAGCTCGACCAAATCCTTTTCAGGTGTATCACTTTTGAAAGCTTTCAAACTGAAAAGTCGAAGTGCTTCATTGGCATTCAATGTCATTGGCTTATACACATCATCCACTCCATAGGTTTGCAGCAAATGCTCATCTCTTGTTGTTATAATTATTCTGCTTCCTAAACCAAACCAAGCACAGCTTTCCGACCAAACCATTTTAAGTGTTGGATGTTATCCACATCATCAAGAACAATAAGAAACCTTCTTATGAGATAAACCTACAACTTTAATCATGTCATTTCTTCATACAAAAAAATTAAATACCTCCCTCAAAAAATGAAAAAGAAGCTGTTTTGTAAATCAAACATAGTCATTTTAGGAAGCACTTTCGAGCTAGAATTTAGCTTTCTATCAAAATGACTTTGAAATTGGGTTTACAATCTTGAAGTGTTGTTTTAATATTTTACCGATTCCTACTCCTTAACTCACGATCCCTATAATGCTACCTCACTAATCATCTTCATCATCCTTGGTATTGCATTAAATGTTTTTCAAACTATTCTTCTCATGTAGATTTAGGAGCACTTGAAAATGTTTGACGTAATTTTGTTGATATCTTTTTAACGATATCTCTAACAAGTTCTGATTCATGCCTACAATACAAAAAGTGAAGCAATTTAGTTACTAAGAGATAGCTTGATGAAAATAACTGCAGCTTCACATAAGAGAAGAAAGGAGTCTAATGCTGAATGCTGATCATTCTTTAAGTGAAAGAATAAGATGGATACCTGTTATTTAAGTGCCATCCCGTCATGTTAGCCACTTCAGTTAAAACGGTTCGCCACCTTACTGCTTCCTCTTTAAATTTTTCTCCATGCTTAGCAAAAGCTTCTTCAACTTTCCCTTTCTGTCCTCGTAGCTCAGATGGATCCACATCATAGAAAATTGGGAATACTTTGTGTCCCCTCTCGTTTTTTTGTTTAATAATTTCGGAAAGCTCTTCCAGACACCATCTGGAAGAAGCATATGTTTCCGAGAAAACGATTATTGAGGACCATGATTCTTGAATTGCTTTAAAGAGCTCTGGTGCGATGGCTTCACCTACCTCAAGGTTTTCATCATCTCTGAAAGTGACGATTCCCTCCCTTTTTAAAGCAGAACATAGATGGTCTGTGAAGTTCTTTCGTGTATCCTCACCTCTAAAACTCAAGAAAACGTCATATTTCCTTCCAGAAATAGAAGAAGATGATGAGAAGGATGAGGAAGATATCTCATTGTCGAATCTAACCATTGGAGTTATGATTACGGTAGCTTTCTTCTACAGATCTCAAAGTAACAAGATTCAGATAGAGGATGGGTCACGGTATAGACGCCGCTATTTCACGTTAACGGCACCCACCAAAACCGTTATTCACTGCAAATAAGGTGCGAGAGGCGATTCACGCATATAGCAGAGCTTCAGGGCCGCAAATAGCAACAACAACAGACCACTGTAGCAGTTATTGAGTTCAGTTGCCTGTGTTATATGTATTTTTTTTATCAAATTAAAAGGACAATCCATACCGAAGCAAAGACAAAAACCCATACAAAACCAAAAGAAAATCTAACATGAACAACTTCATGCTTCAATTTACAGGTAAAAGAAGGAATTAATTTAAGAAATTCACAACATATGTACTTAAAACTACCTTGTTTCATATTTTGGAAATTTTAAGTTGTAGTTGGTGTGGGCTGTGGAGTCAGTGCTCTTTCATAGCTTCCCTGACCCTATCAATTGCGAGCAGTGGTGTGGGTTCTTGCTTTCGTATATCTTGAGAGAGATGAGACGAGACCTGCAGTAAAAAATTAATTAAGCAGAGGCGTGGGTGTTGCGTGGGGGGGTTCACTAGGCTGAGTTGTGGGTTGGTCTACGAGGAATGAGAAATTGAAAGGGCTTCTTGGAAGTTTAATGGGGAAGAAAAGGGTATTGAGGCATGGGAGACTGGAGGGAGTGATCAGAGAGGAAACAGAGGAGCTTATATGAGAAAATATTTATTTTTTCAAATTTTGGGTTAATGAAGGATGAACCTCTGGCGTAATGGTAGCGTGTCTTACCCTAGTTCAAAAACCAAAAGGTTGCCTATTCGATTCCGTTATGGTTACTTTTTCAAAAAAGAAAATGTTAAAGTGCATGAACATCAAATGATATGTTCCTCCAATTCAAAAAAAAAAAAAGTGAGAGGGAAAGGTTTGGAGGGATATGAATTTGAGAAAATTTTTCAATGGTTTAGATTGAAATTGAGAGGATATGGTAAATTATAAAATGATAAATTTATTTTTGCAAGTGTTTTTTCATCTATTAGTATTAGTTAAGGAATAATTAATTTTACATTAAAAGTTTGTACATTTTTTATGTTTGATTAAAGTTAAGTTGATAATTATTAATTTAATTTGTTAATTAACAAAATAAAATTTTCATCCATTATTTTTTATAATTAAATTAGTTTATGAGTTTCATATGCATGAGAAAAGGAAAGCTTAATTTCATAATAGTCATGTTTTGAAAATTGATAAATATTTTGTTGACTATTTTTGGATCAATTTGAATATTATGTTTATATCACTTTTTTATTTTATAACGGTGGTTAATTACTGTTATATTAGTTTGATTAAAATAATATTCAAAGTGAAATATATAATGCGATGTATGAATTTTAATAATTTTTAATATGATATTTGAATTACGATTTTATTAATTAATACGATATTTAAAAAATTATTTATATGTTACGTATTATTATTTTAAATTAATTACATTATAAACAAGTATTATATTAATTAATTAATTTATAATTTAAATATTATATTAAATTTTTTAAAATTTTAATTATTATATTAAATATTTTATTATAACTCAAATGTAATTATATCTTATTTTATTGTACTTTAACCATTTTTTAACAATAACTCAATTTGATGCTTAACAAATAACCTCTAAGGTACTCATAGAGGCCACCCGATATAACCGATCTTAACTCTATGCAATGTGTTTAAAATAATATCAAAGCTAGTTTGACAAAAGGGTTATAAACTATCAAAATTATGATTAGTGATTCACACAATGTAATCTATGGTAAAACATTAACTCTTACCCTAACATAATCAAGTAAATTAGCCAGCTGTGCAGTTGATAGATCAAAAACTTATCAAAAATTAACGTATGAGTTACCCATAAAGACCATCTAGCATAACCAAACTTGACCCTATGCAATGTGTTTAGAATGGGCAAATAAATCAAATGTTAAAAATAATTACAATCAAAAGAACCAAAGTAATACTCAAATTTCGCGCCTACCCTCAAAAGACTAAAATCATTCGTCAAAAGGGTCAAAAATTAAGTTACAAACAAACATAATGATAAAAGTTTTTTCTTTTAAAAAGATAAAGATTGAGGGCTGTACGAATGGCGTTGCTACCACAGGCAAGGAGAACCCTAAAAAAGTGACCCATTTTTTAATTAGAAAACGAAAATTTGTTTCAACAAATTAATCAAGCAAATTGAAAGAAGTTTTTTTCTTTTGTCACTTTTCTGGCTATTGAAATTACCCATATCAAAATAGAGGAAAATCTATCTATCACAAATTTTTTTTCTTTAGTTATCAGTTTAATATTGGCTAACATTTTCCTCCTTGAGTCAATTAATTATGAAAATTAAAAAATGGGTAGAATAATTAAGAAATAAATACCGTTTACATTTCATGTCAATTAAAAATTAAGGATGTATTTGATAAATCAATTTGTATGTCATATTTATTGAATATTATTTTTTAAAAATAATTATATAAAATAATTAAATTAACCTTTGAATTCTTATCTTCTATGAAAATTGGGAATTGTTTAAGACTTGAGAGTCTTCAAATTCAAGCATGCGAAACTACATAATGAATAATGATATTAAAAATATTATGATATTAATAGAAATAATATTTCAAGAAAAGTAACTCTATTTTAAATACTAATGTAAATAATATTAAATATTATTATAACTACATAATAATTTTAATAACAAATAATTTTAATATTTTAATAATAAATATTTTTGAATATTTTAATAGTATGGTTATTGTAATATTAAAATATTTGAATGGAACCACTGTTTGTGTAGGCTAATAATGGTTATTGTAAGTTTATTATGTCTAAGAACGATATTAACTATTTTGTACTCATAAAACTATTTTTTTAGATAAAATCCTACAATCTATATTATTATGCATATAGTTCTTAACTTTTGTAAGACTATTTTTTGTGCCAAAATAATATATAAACTATTTTATTATAATCTAAGTTTATAGAATTTTATTATAATGATTTTATTGTGTTGTATTTTTAATTTTAAATTGCTATTTTATATTTATAATTATTATTATTATTATGGATAAATGTAAAAATATAATTTAAATACTTAAGTAAAAAACATTATTTTGATCGAAATACTGATTTAAAAAAAAAAACCAAACGACAGAAAATTTTTTTCAAAAATATTATCCAAACAACAAAAAAATTTAGATTTTCCAAAAAATAAATCTATTTTTCAGAAAGCTATTTTCAATGAAATAAAAAGTGCATTAAATTTAAATATTAATACTTGTAATCTCTTCTTCTATTCTAGGCTATGATCTTTTTTGTAAAAAAAAAAAAAAATCCAACAAAACATACTAATTATATAAAAAGAAAGATCAACCTATATTAGTATAAAATTTAAAAAAATTTATATTATTTTTAACCATTAATTTCACTAAATTCAAAAGATAAGAGAGATAAATGAAAAAAAAATCTCATCTTTTAAATCTATTAAAGTTAAAAGTTAAAAAAATAAATTTTTTTGTATAAATTGATCCCTCTCTATTATTATATATTATATACTATATATATTGTTGCTAAAGTAGATATGCAGTAATATTACTTGGTTTATTACAAAGTAAATTTATATGTTTTCCAGATACCGAGCATTGAGATGTCATTGAAAAAAACAATGTAAATTGAATTAAACAATTTTGCAAGGATGCATGTACCTACACGTGTACGAAAAATACCATATGTAGAGCTTATTAAGATTCCACGTACATTTTGATACATTATCTAGCAAGAAGATTTTTAAAAATAATAATAATAAAGGTGTTTTGAAATATCTCATTCAAGTAATAATTGATTTTCCATTCATTTCCTGTTAGAAACACAAACTTTTTTTTCTTTTTTTTCTTTTTTGTGAAAGAAAGAAAACACAAAACCACACCACATTTTTTTTACTATTGGCAAAAAATAATTTAACTAATTATTTTTTTGAAAACTCCTCTAATCAAAGGCCATGAAACTTTGAAAAGAAGGCTTCTCTAACTAAAAGTTATAAGATTTTAAAGAAGACTCTTCTAACTAGAGGCTATAAGACTTTAACAAAAGTTTTTCTAACCAAATGTTATCAAACTTGATATTTAAAATTTTATAGGTCTTATAGATTATGCCTATAAGCACAAATTTTGTCTGATTCTATTTTTAACTTAAATATAGTTTTGTTTATATTATTATTATTATTATTATTATTATTATTATTATTATTATTATTATTATTACTACTACTAATTAATTAATTAATTGTAAAAAAAGAAAAAGTAAAAAAAAAATTTGTTTCAACTTTGGCAACTGAAATCAAGCTACCACAGTGGTTCGTTTTTCTCCCCTAATACTGCTTAAATTGATAGCATGAAATCCAATGACTAAAAGTCACTACACAGGTCTTCAAAATTTTCACACAAGGATCTCAGGAGATATGGGATTTAAATCTCAAAAGATCTATAAATGGAGTTAATTTTTGCAAAACATGAGGAAAAAGAAAAATAAGGGAAATACTGTTAAAAAAAAAAAAGAAAGCCAAATAAAATAGGAACATAGAAGGAAGCCTAGGAATTCTGAAAAAAAAAAAAAAAAAAAAAGAGACAAGAAACACACTCAAGCAAAACAAAAAAAAAAAAAACCCAACAATCACAGTCCTCTTTGACAGAGGAACCAATAGCAAAAACAAAAGAAAATTTAGAAACAAAAAAAAAAACTTTGAGAATGAAATTCTTGATCAAAGAGGTTTGAGATGTGCTTTTTGAAAAATCTAGTTTTAAAAAAGTGTTTAGAAAATAAAAAGGACCAATTTGGAATTTTTTAAAAATTTTTGAAAAATTTTTTGGGTGGCCAAATTTTGAAAAACTTTGAATTTTTTAGCAACATTTGAAGTTTCTTATGACCGAAATCTAGGTATATCTCCAGAATCTAGAAAACTTTGAATTTCCCAATGCCATTGAAGATTCTGGCCATCGATGTACAGTGACAATTGATTGAAATCTAGGTTGCTATTGAGGTTAGCAAGAGGGGCTGGATTTTTAAAGAGAGAGGCTTTGGAGGTAAAAAGGAAAAAAAATAAAAAAATAAAAATAGGCCTTTTATAAGCACTTCAAAACAATGTCGTTTTGGGTGTTTGATTGGCATTCGACTCACACATCAACCTACGCTCTGACCCAACCCGTTTGGTAAGTTTTCCCCTTTTTTTTCTTTTTATTTTCTATTTTGATTTTGATTTTATTATTTTATGTTGATTTTTATGCTATTTTTTATTTTTT